TATTGCGCCGCTTAAACATAAAACCATGTCTGCATTTGTGATCTGAGAAACGACAAACGACAAGCGCTACTGGCGTTTGAATCATCAGTGGCAAATTCTTTAAATATAAAAAATTTACTTACAGGCTTGTGAGTCAGAAGCGCCAGAATGTCCTTGCAAAGTTGGAACTGCCCCACTTTATAGAACAGCCTTTGAGCACAGACCCATTGTACTCTGCAGGTTCAGGAAACAGTTTTCCATAAAATGCGTCACACACGGCGGGCTTGAGTGAGCGGCGGCTGGCGGGCTTGAGAACGGCGCGGCCGGCGGGCTTACAGCTTGTATAACAGTGTAAATTTGCTGTCCCCTCAAAATAACTCAACACACAGCCATTAATGTCTAAACCACTGGCTACAAAAGTGAGTATTGCCATTTTGGCTAATTTGGGCCCAATTAGCGCCACCGGCGGTAGTTGGTACATTACCACCACGGTGGTAAAAATCTGCCACCATCACAGCCCTATTTAGGACCCTTCAGGACTAGATGAGATAACACTGTATTTTTCAACATATGTTTGATTGAGCTCTTTTGTCATGCTCAATTATTTTGAAAAAGATTCTGTTTTAGATCTATGCCTAAAATTAAAACAAAAAGTTGTGGTAATAAATCGGACTCATAGAGGCAAAGTTATCAGACGTTACTTTTACTGTGATTATTCATGCTTTCTTTTTTTTTTTTTTTGAAAGAGGAAATGGACTCCTTACGAAGCGGGGCTTCCAGTTCCTCCTCTCATTCTTTTAGCTCTTATTCATACTCTTTCACAGGATGTACTTATTTATCTCTTGTTCCTGAGAACTGGCTGAGGCATTTTTGTCATTTACTTCAGCATAACAGAGACCACAGGCATGTGGCTTATGTTAAGCCGCCAGAGGGATCCTGCACATGTGATCAGTAATGTTACATTCATGACATAATAGTGATATATCACCATATAATAGATTTATATTAGATTTTTTCTGGCAATATGAAATCAAGTAACTAAGGCTGTCACTAACGACTATTTTTATTTCGATTAATCTATCTAATTTATCGATTAATCTAAACACTTAATTTCCCACAAAAAAATCTACAATTTTAAAGAACATTTGATTAAACTTCCAACTTTGCCATTCAGTAGTGTACCATTAAAAAAGTATAAATGTAAACAAACCTAATAAAAATGAAATAAAAAGAAAATAATTACAAAAGTCTGAGAAAGTCAGCATGTTCTTAATGTCAGTATACCCACATGTTCTGGGCTTCTGTTCATTGCAGCTGTGAGTGCAACTACAAAGGGGGAAAAATCTGTTTCAATTAACCCCAACAGTTGGGTTTTCAAATTAAATAAATGCAATGTTTAGAGTCCACTAGAATCAAGTATTAAAATTGTATTATTAAAAGTTATTACCGTATTGTCCCGAATATAAGACGATATTTATTTCTTGGAAATACATCTGAAAAAACGCGGTCGTCTTATATTCAGGGTCTAGACTTTGACATGTCAATAATACACCCACAACACTAGGTGGCGCCAAATACGCATAAAACGAGTGTGCCATGAAATACGTAATGTAATGCGTGTTGTAAATATCGCGAGTAAAAACAAAAGAGAAAGAAAACCTAACAGCTGCATGAGTCGTGACTGTCACGTTAGCCTGATGGGACCAAACTCCCTTTGTGATTTTAAAACGTAAGACAGTACCCAGATTTGACGACTACAGTAAGATTTAACTTCTACTGTTAATACGATTTTGGTAGGCTACTATTAGATGGATAGCCTAATGTCCTAATTCAGATGGGCTACCTGTTTTATTTTTTTAGTGGTATATCAAAAAGTGTATATTTTTTAAATGTGATTGTTGGTACATTTTACCAGTTTTTACCATACTTTCAAAACAAAAATTAAAATAGGAAAAATATGCAATATGAAAATAATTGAAGACAAAATGTGTTTTACTGAGAAAAAACAAGATTTGGTTTTTAAAAAGCCTTTTTCCAAAAGGTACATCTAGAAAAAGGCGGGGTCGTCTTATAATCAGGGTCATCTTATATTCGGGCCAATGCGGTATTATTAAAAATGTTATGTATTAAAAGTACTCTTAGAAATGTGTAAACAGATTTAAACAGACATCTCCAGCATGATGAGAAAAATGAACAGAGGGCTTCAGTAGTGAAACTCCAAATGAAATCCAAATTTCTATGAAATCCTTTTTTAAAGCAAAAGTAAAGTGCAACATAGTGCAAGAAGCAAGTGTCCATCTCATAGTCCAAATCACTGAAACCAAAGTTCAGTATTATAGTGTAAGAATGACAACATGGCCACGTGTTCTGGTCTACTACTAATAAAATATTATAATTAATAATTAATTTTTGTGGTAATAAAAATAGATGTAGGTTAAGTGAACAATAGCCTTTAAAT